GGGACAGATAAGGTGTTATGGGATCCAGAGGAGGAAGCTGCTTTGGAAGCACAGGACTCATGGAGCAGATGGACCTTGCTCCTGGGCCAGGAGGAATAGGGAGAATTGGTGGATGATGTAGGGATGCAGACACATGAAATGGGGACGAGTGGGAGAGAAGGGAGCCAAGGCAGGGAGTCAGGACAGCACAGAGCAGTTGAGGAGAGGCTCTGCTGCCGAATCTGGCCTGCTGCCTGTTTGGATAAATCAGAACGGAACATGGCCCCACCCAGTTGTCACATATGGTCCATGTGCTGTAGGCAGAGTTGTGTTGGGATGGATGTGATAGTCGGCAGAGCCTAAAATCATAATTCTCTGACCCTTTGTAGAAACATCTCCCCCTGACCTTTGAAAGTGAAAGTGAAAGTCGCTTAGTCATGTCCGACTCTTTGTGACCCCATGGACTATATGATCCATGGAATTCTCCAGGCCAGAATACTGGAGTGGGTAGCCTTTCCCTTCTCCAGGGGATCTTCCCAATCCAGGGTTCGAACCCAGGTCTCCTGCATTGCAGGTGGATTCTTTACCAGCTGAGCCACAAGGGAAGCCCAAGAATACTGAAGTGGGTAGCCTATCCCTTTTCCAGTGGATCTTCCCAACCCAGGAATCGAACCAGGGTCTCCTGCGTTGCAGGTGGATTCTTTACCAACTGAGCTATCAGGGAAGCCCCCTGACCTAAAGGAACACAGATCATGAGTTTGTGAGAACACAGAGCTCTGATGTGGGAAGGAGGGGGTGACGAGTCAAACCTGATTTGCAGGATGAAGTGACTGTGGAGAGGCTGCTGAAAGCTTTTGAACTGGGATGTCATGATGCGAAGTGTGATTCTGGAAGATAATCTGACAGCAGGTGGAGATTGATTGTCAAGCAAAGGAGACCGGGGCCCTGTTAGCAGATCTTTGCGACAGTCAGTGATAGTCGATAGTCACCAATGAGAAAGGAGGGCTTGTACTAGGGAGGTGGTGGGGAGGGGGGATGAGGAGTTTCTGGGCATGTGTAGGGGGAGGCACTGACGCTAGGGGCACTGAGATTGGAGGCAGGGGTGGGGAGGGGAGGGTGGAGGCAGGAACAGAAGCAGGAGACAGGATCGGCCAGTTCCAGCCAGAAGTTTCCCCATAGAGGTGGTGGTGGTGGTGGTAACTGCTCAGATCCCACGGACTGTAGCCTGCCAGGCTCCTCTGTCCATGGAATTCTCTAGGCAAGAATACTGCAGTGGGTAGCCATGCCCTCCTCCGGGGGATCTTCCTGACCCAGGGATCAAACACCGGCTTCCTGCATTGCAGGTGGATTCTTTACCCTCCGAGCACCAGGGAAGCCCTTTCCACAGGACAACACTATATTTGGTCCCTGGCACCTGGGCTGGACCCACAAGGCCCTGTCACTGCCAGGTCGGCTTTGGGAGTGTGGACAGAGGTGGCCAGAAAGATGAGGAAGGCGATAATTTCCTTCCAACTTCCTGGGCAAAGGGCCTCTGTGGGAGAAATTTCTAGAAGGATGCACCTTATCTCTGCTGCCATCCTCCTCCCTCCCAGTTGCCAAGATAATCGGATGAGATGGACATCAAAAGTTGCCTTGGTGGGGTGTGGCCTCGGAGGACAGCCTGCAGCATGGTGGGGGGGCTTGGGGAGGACACAGCCTCTCCCCTCCCCGCGCCTTAGCTGAACTGGTATGGAGTTGACTGTGTGGGTGTTTATTTCTCTCATCGGGGTGTGAACAGGGCTGTGACTCATTCATCTTTGGAACCTCCTGTTGGGAGCAGTGGGAGAGTTAATGATGAGGGAGGCGGTGAATCTGAGCCCAAGCCTTGGCCATTGGGTAGTGGAACCTTTTTAGCTCTCCATCTCCTCCATCCGCCACTGTCAGCAAAGGTCGGCTGACAGCAAACATCTGCACTGTTCCGTGTGCCTAGGACTGAGTATGGGGGATGTCTTGGGCTTGCCCTTGGGGGAAGCTCCTGCAGCCTTCACTCCTTCACTATCTGCTCTGGGTTTTCTGGAAGTCAGCTGGCAGGGTGGGATCTCCATGGGGCTGGGGCTTCTCCCTGGCTTTGCTTCTAGAGCTGGGGTAGCCACAGTCCACCAGCTAAACCCAGTCTCACCCTGCAGCCCCAGTCCTGGGAGTGTGCTGGATGGAGACTCCGCTTGGCTCTGAGTCATGCTTGGGGGTTAAGGGGCCTTTAAACTTGTCTATGCAGAAGGAAGTGGCAGCCCACTCCAGTATTCTTGCTGGAAAGTCCTATGAACAGAGGAGGCTGGCAGGGTACAGTCCATGGGGTCACAGAGTTGGACACGGCTGAGTAACTGAGCACACATTCCCAGACTTGGCTTTGCTGTGCCATATGCGTGGCCTCGTGTATCTTCACGGTGGGTCAGTGAGGTTTGCTTGACTGTGGATCACTGTCTTATAGATGAGGAAGCTGAGGTGCCGGTAGGTGAAGGGATTCGCCTGGGGTCAGTGGCTGAACTGATTGGAGCTTTGGGCTGTGGTCTCTGGGGCCCTTCCTTCCTTGGCTAACAGGGCTCATCCATAGGAGGGACACCAAGGTTTAGGACCCTGCAGTCTAAAATGGAAAGGCTGGGATGGGTCTCCGAGGACAGCGTCTATCAGCTGGATTTTGCAGCACTTGAAGGCAGTTCTTGAGGACAGCCAGAGGAAGCCCAGTGTGTCCCTGGGCCTCTCAGCACACGTTCACTGTGGGCCAAGTCAGCCCTCAAGCCTGCCTGGCAGAAACGCCATTGGCTCAGAAGGGCTTGGGCAAGTTCTGTGGGTGATGGATCGCAGGTGGGTCCCTGATAGAGCCTGAGGAGGGTCCTGTCCTGATCTTTACCGAGCCAGTCCTTGCCCCACCAAGTCCCTGTGTCCCCACCAGAGACCACACACTGGGCGGGAGACCACACTCTGAGTTGGAGTCCCTCGGCCCTGGCCCTGGGAGATGGCATCCCTTTCTCACAATAATATGGGTCTGAGGAGGGGTGAAGGGCCCTCTCCTATTCCTTCCCCTTCCCCTCTTTTTCCTCCCTCTCTGCTGCTCCCTCTCCTCCTCCTCTGCTACCTCCCCCCTCCCCGCCCCCGGCCATCAGCTCCCTCTCCCCCCTTCTACTCTCTCTCCCGCTCTGCTCCCTCCACCCCTCTTCTTCCTTGCCTGACCCTCGCATCTCCTTGGACTCACTGTGGTTGGAGCTGCGCTTGGTCCTGGGCAGTGGAACCCAGTCCCTGGATCCTGTAGAGCCTTTGAGCAGACACCCTTCTGCAGAGTCCCTGGCTGGTGGCTTGGCCGGGCTAGATCTTGGCACTTGCTGCTCCTGGCGCTGTGGTCTTAAACAGAACCTTCCTAGGTCTTGTCCCTGGCTCCGCCTCGGCTATGCTCATTGTCACCATGATCACATCTCCACCATCAGTAGTGACTCTGCTCTTGGCTGGGGCCTTTGTGTGACAGCTGGGGCCCTGTTTAGCTGACCAGATGCCCTGGGTGGTAGATCGCCTGTAATGTTTAAGGTATTATTAATACTTCTGGCCAGAAGCAGTGATTTAGGCATAATTTCTTGGGCTTTCCAGTTGCTTCTGGTGGCCAGAGCCCATGGCCAGGATAGAATCATCACACCCCCCAGCTGGTTCCCATGGATCACTATTACGATAATGGCAACAAAGGGCTGACTTCATGCACACCCTCTGGTTCTCGTTCCTCACCTGGACCACAGAGCTCCCAGGCGCCACACATCTGTTTCAAAGGAATGGCTAACACCTGACACCATGGCCAGACGTCTGCCTAACCGGCCCCGGGGCAGACATCACTAATCAATCATGGCTCTCTTCCCCATGAGCCCAGTGAGGACTCATGATCCTTCTGGAGCTGGCACTCGGGTGTCAGTTCTGATCTGCAGCATTCATTCATTCATTCACAGACTTGTTAATGAATGACAGTTAACAAATGTTAACTGTGTACAGAAAGTCCCCTACATATGAATCTTCAGGTATTGAACTTTCAAAAATGTGAATGTGTGTTCATATGTCCAGTCATCTAAGATGTAAGTGAAATTGCAGCTTGCTCTCCATCTCCTGTTGCTGCTGATCCTTCATTTCTACCATCTCCCATCCCTTCACCCTTCTGCGGGCAGTAACTCTTCTTGCCTCTTCACTCAGCGCCTGCCCCTGTATGCCAGCTCTTGTACTATGTTATGTACTTTTCAAGGTGCTGAACTGTGAGATTAAAAATTTTATTTTTTGTGTTTGCTTGTTTTTATGTATTATTTGTGTGAAAAGTATAAACTTATTATAGTACTGTATGGCTGACTCATTGGAAAAGACCCTCTTGCTGGGAAAGATGGAAGGCAAAAGGAGAAGGGAAGAGAATGAGATGGTTAGAAAGCATCACTGACTCAATGGACATGAATCTGAGCAAACTGGGAGACAGTGAAGGACAAAGCAGTCTGTGTGCTACAGTCCACGGGGTCGCAAAGAGCCAGATGCAACTTCACAGCTGAAGAATAACAACAACCACATAGCCGAGTTAGTTGGGTACCTAGGCAAACATGGACTTAATGAACAAATTGGACTTAGAAAAGTGTTCTCAGATTGGAACTTGTTTGTATATAGGGTATTTATTGTGTAACGTTTATTGAGCTGCTGTCATGCAAGGGAAAAAAGTATGGTCCTCGCCTCATCAAGTGGAGCTCTGAATGTGATAGTCAGACCTGGGAGCACCTTATCACTCTCTGATGCTCAGCTGGAGAGCAGAGTTAGAACTGTCTTCTTCAGGAGCCCAGAGGGGACGGGACTTAATCACTGCAGGTGTCAGAGGAGGGCACAGGTCCTGTGTGGCCAGTGCTGTTCGTGTGTGCCCTGCGGAGCCAGCAGTGGATGGCACGGCTGCGGAAAGTGGGATCCCTTCTGAATCTGGGGACAGAGTCTGGCCAGAGACCCAGCCACGTGACCCGCCCTTACTGGTGCCTTCTCTCCCACAGGAGCAGGGGCTGAAGGCCAATAACTCCAAAGAGTTAAGCATGTGCTTCACAGAGGTGAGTGAGGGGCAGAGTGGGGGTGGGTGCAGGGGGCTGTGCGGGGAGGGGGGTTGTCTACTAGGCGAGGCTTGGGCCTGGAGCCCCCAGATTCCGTAACACAGGCTGGGCTAGCTCAGCTTCCGGGCCGCCTGAACCAGAGCTGGCGCTTGCTCTGTGGGGGGCGAGGATGGGTGGGAGTGGGAGTGACAGCCAGGGCCTTTCCTTGTCTCTTGGGGGCGCTGCTCAGGCTGCTCTGAGGAGAGATCCTGGCAGGCCCTCCTGACTCTACAGACGTTCTGGGACACTCCAGAGAGGGGGAGAGATGGAAGAGGATCCGCGCGCGTCCTTGAGGGAGACCCAGCACAGGACTGGACCTGTGTGCGTGCTAAGTTGCTTCAGGGTCCGACTTTTGGCGACCCCATGGACTGTAATCCACCTGGCTCCTGTGTCCATGGGATTTCCCAGGCAGGAATGCTGGAGTGGGCTGCCATTTCCTTCACATGCAGGGTCTCCTGCGGGCACACTAACCCTAACCCTTCTCCTGGGTGGATCTTCCCCATCCAGGGATCGAACCTGGGTCTCCCTCATTGCGGACAGAGCCTTTACTTTTTGGGCCACCAGGGAAGCCCAGCCCTACTGACTCATTTGTCTTTTTCTCTGCTTCTCTCTCTCTTCTGCTTGGCCGCAGCTCACGACCAATATCATCCCAGGGAGTAAAAGGGTGATCAGACCTAACTCAGGCCCCCGCAGAGCCAGACCGTCGGCTGCCTTGACCGCTGCATCCTTCCTGTTGCTGAAGCTGGCCTTGTAGGCTCCGGGGATCCCATCGGGAGATTTCTGAAAGCTACACGGATGAGAACACCCGCCTGACAAAACGGAAACACACACAGACACCCAGACACACACAGACACGCAGACACACTTTGCAAAAAAAAAAAAGATGTTTTTTCCCACTTTGTCTCTGAACCTGTCTCCTCCCAGGTTTCTTCTTTGGAGAAGCTTTTCTAAACCAGACAGACAAGCAGGCGGGCAGCCTGAGAGCTGGCCCAGAGGCCCCCTGGCCGGGGAAACCCCTGGCAGGTCTAGAGATACCCTTCACTCTTTGGGGGTTTTCCTCTCTGGGCCCTGCTGACAGGAGACCAGACGACACCCGGACTGCCCAGGGACGTGGGCGCGGCCGGGATGGATGCTGTCCTCAAGCGCCCCAGTCAGGGGACCTGCGGGGGACTGCGGGGGCCTCCGGCAGCAGGGCAGTGAGGCCGGCCCCGGGGGTCCAGCTGGGCACCGTCAGCGCCTCCGCTCAGCTTCCAGGAGGGAGTTAATTCGCCTCCCTTCTCTGACGGCTGGATCTGACCTCTCCCCTTGATCCCCACTCTAGCACAGCGGGGAGGGCTGGGCAGCTCCGGGCGGGCTTGGGGAGCCCAGCCTGCCTGGGAGACCCTGCTGGGGGTTGGGAGCAAAACTTGGGAACCACCTCAAGGCGGCCTCTTCCTCCTTGGTGGCAAAGAGCCTCCTTTGAAATCAAAGAGAAATGATTCCTTGTCCACTCCCTTGGTTTCTTGTGGGTCCCTTTGGTGGGTCTCCCTTTGGAGGGAGGGGCCAGGCGCTGAGAGAGACAGAGGACCACCGTGGGCACCGTCTCCCAGCACCATGCTCTGGTCTCTGCGCCTCCCTCCATCTCTCTCCTCCCTGCCTCACTCGCCCACCTTCTCTTCTCATTTCTGAGACATACGCCCACTGCCCACTGTATGTACATAACGCGGCTCCTTTCTCAACATATATGTATATACACATCCGTATACATATATCGTGTGGTTCCCTCTCCTTTCCTTTTTTTAAGAACCTATGGAAATAATACGCTAACAGATGAGCGAAAATGTATTATTGTAAAATTTATTTTTTTTAATAATGTTGTCTATAACGGGGGAAGGAAAGGAGGTGGGCTCCCTGTGTTTCTGCCCCAGTTGGGCTGACGGGGTCGTGGAAGGGAGTTTCTGATTGGTATCACGCGTAGCCGAGGCTCCAATAAACATACTAGGAAGCAGTCTGCCTTCTGCTTCACTCTGGGTGTGCCGCCTCCCCTGGTTTGTTCTTGGCCTGGTGCTGATGTCTCTGTTGCTGTCCTGGGGAGCCCTGGGAGGATGTGTGTGTCCACATGTACACACGTGCCTGGGAGAATGTGTGTGTCCACGTGTACACACGCGTGTCTGTCCACTGTGTGTCCTCGGGGCAGGTATTGGAGCTCTGCAGTGGAGACGATTTTACATTCCCTGGTCTGAGTTCCTGGTTGTGCTGAGCCTACTGGTTCATTCACCGGTCATCTCCTCCCTCCCATCACAAACAGGCCAGTGCCCGCTGGCCCCAGACTGGAAGAGAATGGAAGTGGGGATGGAGGAAGGGAGGCGGCCTGATGTCACTTCTCATGACGTTTTTGTTTTAAGGATGCCTGCTTGGCCCTGTGAGGTGGCACAGTTGGTCTTCCTGTGGGGACTCCTGTTTTTCTTTTTATGTGGTTGTGAAGATAGGGACCTGGCCTCCTGCATCCCAGCCTCTGATGGAGGGGTGGTGAGCCAGCCCGCCCTCTTTCTCAGCCACCACTAGCCTTACTGTGTGTAGAGCAAAGTGAAATGGCCCTTAAGTTGGGAATCCATGTTCTTTGCAAACTGCAAAGACTGGTTCACTTAGAAGCCTTTGGGGAAGGTGGCCCACAGAGTGGGCGGGGGCGGGGGGGGGGACCCAAGGAGGTTTGGGCAGGAACCAAAAGACATTTGAAAGGACAGAAAGCAGGATCTACAAGGTCAGAGTGCTGCCCCTTTGTGATGAATGACAACAACCATCATCCAGTTGGCTGGACTGGGGCCCTGTGCCTATCTCCTGCCCCCCTAGGGTGTCACGTTGTTCAGTTGCTAAGTCAGGTTCAACTCTGCAGCGCCATGGACTGCAGTACCCCAGGCTTCCCTGTTCTTCACTATGGCATCCTTAATGGAAGATAAGCCCTTGGCTTGCATCATGGGGAGAGATGATTTCCCCAAAGGAAACAGAGGTGCCTTTATGAAGGAGGAATAGAGGCTGGAGAGCTTTACTGTGACTTAAAACATCTCCCCATTCAGGTATCCCATAGCTAAAATTTTACCATTAAACATTCATTCCTTTGGTTGAGACAATTCCTATTCTCCATGACCCTCTAAAAATATGTAAATAAAACTGTGAAGAATAAAGTTTTATTATCTTAATGCTAATTAGTTTAATGATTTGAATGGATCTTAGTAACATTAAGACATTTAGGCCTAGACATTGAGATTAGGCTTGGGGGGCAGAGATGGGGAAAGAAGCAGGAAAGATCAAAACAAGGTTGGTGGGGGCCCCACCAGAGCATCAGAATTGCTCTCGGGTTCTTCTGGGGAGTCAAACACGTGACGTATAGGCCCACGGCGCCTTTACTCCAGAGTCAGCAAAGTCTATAAGGATTTTTTCTTTTTTTTTTGCCACTAGTCACATGGGGATTCCTGATCTGGGGCATGCATCTGTCTAGGAGTGTATCTTATTCTGTTTTCTAGGGTCTAATGTGTTGTACAGACTGAAACCCTATAAAGATGCTTCTTCCCCTGGGGGAAGCTTCCAACCTGGGATGATTTTGGATCTGCCAAGAACCAAGACCTCAGCTTCCGACCTGGCTCCCGCTACCCTCCTCTCAATGCAGCTAGGAACACTCAACTAGGCTGCAGGCCCAGCAGAGACCCAAAGTGGTGGTGGGGAATCCAAGGAAGCTGGTTCAGAGACTCAGAGAACTTGGCATCCAGGGGGCCATGCCCTGGCCCTGGGTGGCCCTAGTATGTGAGCCTCGTGGCTTGGCCCTTGCTTGTTCAGAGATCAGAGACAAAACTGTTACCTTAGTTCTCTGCACCCAGGCCCTGTTTGGAGCACAAAACAAAGAGGTGTTTTGGTTTTCCAGGAAACCCAACCTTGCTCTTGCAAGGCCTTCCAAGGACTCGGTCCCCAGGCCCTAGCTGGTCCCGGCTCTCTCCACCAGACCTTCAAGAGGTCACGCAGCTCAAGGATCAGAAAGAGGATATGTTGAGGCAGACCTGGAATTGATTTCCAAATGTGCTGCTCAGCACCTGTGTGGCAACGTTCAATCTAAGCCTCAGTTTCTCATCTGTGTAAGGCGGCCAGCAGCCCTGCCTTCTAAGAGGTTGGGGTTGAATGGAATACCCTGCCAGGAGCCTCGCATTCAGCCACGCCCCCTCTCTTCAACCACGCCCTCCCTTCAGCCACGCCCCTCCCTTCTCTGTGGCTGCCTGATCCTGCGCCTGGATTCTCAGTCCCTGCCTGGTAGGCAGGGGGCCTCCTCTTGGCAGCTGGAGGAACTGCTCTGGGGTCCATCTTAGGAGCTTCGCTCTTTCTCCTCTTCTGTGTCTCCAGAAACTTTCACAGATTCCCTGTGGCAGAAACAAGAAACGCCCACCATTAAGCCCCTGCACGGTGCTCTTGGAAGCGCTGCCAAGTGGAGTTAAGAGGACAAGCAGGGTTGGGGAGAGGGAAAAAGGAAACTTTCTCCTGTTGGTAGAGCAGAGTTGATTTGATCTGCGAGTCGCCGGGGACACTGGCTACAGAACATCCGAATGCCACGCACTCCCGAGTCCACTCTCAGAGTGTCTGCCCCTTCTCCACGCGGGAAGGCAGAAGATGTGGCACAGCTGTGGGTGCACCAGCTCAAAACTGAGGCCAGGATGCCGTGACTGGCCTTGGAAACTGAGGGAGGCAGGCTGGCATGGGGTTCCTGTGGGGCCCAAAGCCAGACCAGAGAGGCTTTGCTCCAGGGGATTCTTGGAAACTCACTGCAGAGTGGGAGCCTTCAACTCTAGCTTTTGAGAATGAGTTCAGAGTCAAAGCACCTTGATGCTTTATGAGCAGAACCATCTGCCCTGTGATTTCCCTGTAGGGAAAAAGGGCTGTCAATGTGGTGGGAGTCTAAGGACAAATTCAAGTCCATATTCTATCCTCCAGAAGTCTGGGTATTCCTGGAGAGGGCGTGCAGGGACCTGGATTCTAACTCTGGCTCACCTAGCTAAGTCATTGAGCTTCCCTGAGCCTCAGAAAGGTTTCTCTAGATTGGGGATCAACAAACTTTGTCTATCAAGGGCCGAATAATTAATGTAATAGGCTTCTTGGGCTGTGTCATTTCTGTTGCAGCTACAAACTCAGCCATTGTATTGTAGCTGGAAAACAGCCAGTAGCAATATGTAAGTGATGGAGCTGAATGTGCTCCAATCAAACTGGATTCACTAAAACAGGTCCAGGCTGGAATTGACCCCTGGGTTGCCGTTTGCCCACCGTGTTCTAGATGATCTCTGAGCCCAAGCTCTCAAGTCCAGGCTCTCTGACCACAGGGCTTTGGTGGCAGGGAGTGACATGGATGATGGGGCTTCAGTCACCCCCAGGTGGATAGAAGAGAGGGCAGGTTGCCATTGTGATGGGGAGGTGGAGGCTGGTGAGCTGCGGAAGAGGATGCTTAGAGGAGAGGCCCCACCTCGGGCAGGCGCTGTGAGGAATCATCCAGGTAGCCTGCGGGTCACACACCCGCAGGTGTGGTCCGGAGCGTGGCAGCTGCACCGACTATTCTGAGGTTGTGCCTTGTCTATGGGGTTGAACTTCAGCTGCTCTCAACTCATGCATGCATGCATCCCCCTGGACCCTGATGAGGGGGCATCACTCCCTGGTTTGCAGGAAGGCATCTGAGCTGGAGCAGGACCTGGGGTCCAGAGTGAGGGAAGCTACTGCTCCATATATGGGAGGGGAGAAGGTCACTCGAGAATGCAGAGAAGGCCCTGCAGGACAGCGGGGCCCTGAGAGCCCCTGCATGGCGATCGGCAAGCCTCTTAACCCAGCTGGGCCCAGTTTTCTCGTCCACAAAGGGAAGGGCCAGAGGCACTGCTCTCCGAGGTTCCTGTCCTCAGTAGGATTCTGTGATTCTATGACTGCCAGCTCTTTCTGAACTCGCCAGCCTGGCACTGAGTAACTTGGAAGGAGGTGGAATTCATCTCTCTTGCAATAAACACCACCACTCTGCTTGGCTGCTCCAGTTTTCCCCAAGCATCTTATGTAGAACTGCAGACTGCTGCCTGGGGCTCTTTCTAGGGACGGCTGATGGTGTTGTCCCTCACGCTTTGCCTCATTCCCTCTTTTCTGATGACAGTCCACACCCGTGGGGGAGCACCCACAGAGCCGGCCCTGGCCTCCCTTCCTGGGGAGCTCTTGAGTCACCACTTTGACCTGGGTCCTCCTGGGCAGTCAGAGGTGACAGAACCTCCTCCACTGGGACCACCCACTGGGCGGAAGTGAGTAATCCTCATCCAATATCTCTGTAGGAGGAATTTGTGGAGTCACTGGGGCTGGCATGATTCAAGTGCTGAAGCTCTTGCAGCCGGAAGACAGGCTTTCAGGAAAACCTCCCCCTTAATTTTTTCCCAAGCCTGCTCAGTGGGCTGACCTCTCTCCCCTCTTCCCCTGCCCACCCATGCTCAGGAAGTCGACAATTTAAAACAAAGGCTGTAGCTCTCACTCTCCTTCATTTCAAACCAGAGTCCAGCCTTGTTGGCCAAACAAATCCTTGTAGGATGACGCCGCTGGCCCAGTCCATCCTTCATTTTTATCCTCAGTGAAAGATGAAAGGCCTTTTATTTTCCAGGGGCCCCAGAAACCTGAAATCACTCTTAATTCTCCCTGTGTTAGAAAGCTGGGTGAGCTCAAGGCCACAGTGACATGAAGGACAAAAAGGCCTGCCCCCCCAAAAGTGTATTTATAGCATGTCTACCTGGGGGGCTGCTGAAGTCACCTTTTCTCCCAAAGCGCAGAGACCTGACTCTCTTGATGATTGGAAATGGTCCACAGATGCTGTCATCCCAGGGGACGGTGATGACCCCTCCAAAAGCCCTTCAAACTCACCCAAACCCATGCATCTCTCTGTCCAGCCCTAGGGTATCTATGAAAAAGATGGGGCAGTCTGGGGGAGCAGACAGAGCTGCTGGGTCCCTCTCTGCTGCCAGGGAGGGTGGTTCTGAGCTAGTGCTGTGGGCCTCATCACTCTTTGGGCATTGGCTGGCTGGTGGGACTTCGTCCCCTCCACCCCATCATCTGCCCCGAGTCGACCTGGGGAAAGGGTCCCCACTCAGAGGGCAGGCTGGGCCTTCTACCCCAGGCATCTGGGGCACAGCTCAGTCTGGCCCTGTCCTGGGCATCTCCATGTGGACTCAGGACTCTACATCTCAGAACAGTGGGAGGACTGGGAGTGTCCCCTCCTCCTGAATAAGTGTAACTGATCATGTGACTGATTTCCAGTGGGAGTTGGGTGTTCCTGGGGATCCCCTTGGGTTCTGTTCATCATCTGGAGGACCTCTAACTTCCATCCCTGGGGCTGCTTCCCTAGAAAATCTGCCCCCTTCTCTCTCCACCCTCTTTGTCAGGCTGTGGCTGTGGCCTCGAAACACCTTTCTTTGCTGTTGAGGCAACTCCTCCACCTTTGATAGGTTGGTGAGGGGTGTTGACCACCAATGTGAGCTCTGGGCTCTGGCTGTGTCCGAGGTTAGCTGATTCCCCGTGGCCATGTCCTGTTAGGAACTCCACTGGGCACATGCTTGGAATCACGGTCATTCTCTCCCAGGAACTCTGCTTTCATCTTCCTTCTTTTGAGCCGTCTGCCAGTCTGGCTTTCTCCAGTGTCACCTTCTGGTGAGGGTGTTTTTGTTTAGCATTTGCAGACCCTGGAGAAGTGATGCCTTCTCTCCCAGAGTCCTCTGCTTCAGGTCAGGCTGCTCTTCCTCTCAGTGGCTGAATGCAACTGAGCAGAATCTCAGGGGACCATATCCATGCAAAGTCCCTGAACTGGCCACCTTGTTGTGATCATTGCATCTGCATGGCTTAGATGGTAAAGCGTCTGCCTGCAATGCGGGAGACCTGGGTTTGATCCCCAGGTTGTGAAGATCCCGTGGAGAAG